ATAAAATCAAAATCAGGTATTAATTACGGACGTCAAAATTAAAATCCGGTATTAATTGGGAAAAATAAAATCAAAACGGTATTAATTATGAAAAATAAAATCAAAATCCTGTATTAATTATGAAAAATAAAATTAAATCAGGTATTAATTAAAATTAAAATCCAGTGTTAACTATGAAGATTAAAATTAAAATTAAAATTAAAATCTGGTGTTAACTATAAAAAATAAAATTAAAATCCGGTATTAATTAAGAAAAGTAAAATTAAAATCCGGTATTAATTATGGGAATTAAAATTAAAATCTGGTATTAATTATTAAAAATAAAATCAAAATCCGGTATTAATTATGAAAAATAAAATCAAAATCCTGTATTAATTATGAAAAATAAAATCAAAATCCTGTATTAATTAAGAAAAATAAAATTAAAATCCGGTGTTAATTATGGGAATTAAAATTAAAATCCGGTATTAATTATGAAAAATGTAAAATCAAAATCCAGTATTAACTATGGAAAATAAAATTAAAATCTGGTATTACCTATAAAAAATAAAATTAAAATCCGCAATTAATTACAGGTCTCTAAAGTTCTAAGCAATGTTTGTCTATCCCTCCGAGTCAGAACAACTGCCATCCATTTACATAAGCTCATTAAGTGGATTACTCGGCATTTCCTTCTGCCATTGTTGCCGTCATTTATACCGTGTGAATGTGAAATTCTCCAATCTGCTATATATTCTCAAAACTTGGTTTCAATCTTTTCAATGATTTTATTGTAGAATAAAAATGATTTTTCTTGATGCGCTCATTTTTTTATAAGACACACCAATTGTTGCTACTGCTGCAGTAGATGCATAGGTGCAACTATGATCCTAATGTTTTCGAGAATCACGTGTCGATCATGCATTTTCCCATGTTCAAATGCGTAATTACACAGATCTGCGCGCCCACACATACACACACAGAGGTGATGATTGTGAGTGTATTTGTGCCTGTATGTGTGCGTGTCTACTTGAAGCAATTTTCATCGGAATGTGGGCGTGGTGTGTCTGTCGTGTTGTATTAATATTAATTAGCCTGGAAGGAGGGGCGATGAAGCATCATTCCGTTGTGTTTCTAGTCAGCGTCTACCATTTTCTCTGTGCATCGTAATTTTATTCCATAAACTCTAGTTTAATGGCGAAAAGTACATCAGAACGACGCACCGTTATCGCTACGAAAGTACCATATCTGGGCGGGGTCAACATTACATTTCCTATTCATATGGACCACATGGGTGTGACAAAGCCCATAACGAAATACTAATATCCCAAAATATAGATAAGGAGTCACTAATTATGTGTGAAATGCACAGAAAAGTAGCATGATGTGGGGGTGAGGTGTACTTACATTGACTGTGTGTGGTACAAGGGGTACAGACTTGGCTCATTTAGGAAAGAGACTAATTTAATAACTTTTTTTATGTTGGATCAGCATTAATATGACGTCAGTTTGCAAGTGATTTTTGTTGTAACCACACGCACACACACACACACATATATATATATATATATATATATGCGTAGATATAAAGAGAGGCCTCTATGCATATATATATATATATATATATATATATATATATACACGAATAAAGAGAAAAGGAAAACCGACGCGTTTCGTCCACAAGGCAAATATAAGTCCATGTGAGAACAAAACACGTCAGCTCGGAAAATCTTTCCTTTTTTTTTCATTATTCTTTTTTTTTTTACAGATATATTTTTAGTTTTATCTGGATCTTTACACACACACAGATACACGCTCACAGACACACACATGTAATGTATATATATATATATATATATATATATATATATATATATATATATATATATATATATATGTATATATATATATATATATATATATATATATGTATGTGTGTGTGTGTAAGATAAGTTTTTCGTTTTGTCTTGTTTTATATGGTTCTTTTACAGATACCCTCTGTCTGAAATTTTTACACACACACACACACACACATATATATATATATATATATATATATATATATATATATATATATATATATATATATATATACAGATACCCACTCTGTCTGAAATTTTTACACACACATATTTAAGTACACTGTTTAATGTATGTTTTACTCTTAGTATATATATATATATATATATATATATATATATATGTGTGTGTGTGTGTGTGTGTGTGTGTGTATTTAAGTACACTGTTTCATAATGTATATTTAAGCACACTATTGAATGTATATTTTACTCTTATATATATATATATATATATATATATATATATATATATATATATATATACATATATATATATATATATATATACACACACACACACACATAAATATATATATATATTTATATATATATATATATAATGATAGATAGATAGATAGATAGATAGATAGATAGATAGATAGATATAATGGACACATTCAAATTAAATTAAGAAAATATATATATATATGGTGATTCATGGTATAAAAAGTGAATTAAAATTATATATACATTATTGATATATACATTATTGAAAATATATCTATATATATACATATATATATATATATATATATACATACGTATAGTAAAATACTAACAAAAAAATCATTATAAAATATACAAATATTTGTATATTTTATAATAACGTTGTCATTTTTTAAACTATAAATCTTTTACTAACTTGTATCTCCTTGTAATATTTTGAGTTGGCTGTATTGCTTCTGTATTTTTCACTATTCAAGATCAGTTCATGGTTGTAACATCTTTGTTTCTATTCTGTTTCTGTCGAATCAAAATAGTATTTCTACCGGATATCACATTTGATATAGCTCTATAAATAATATTACTAATTAGACTTATTGGCTGTTTAAGAGACATTTATTGTTATTTCAGCTGTTGCCTTTTTCTTACATTTTCGCCTCTAGATTCATTAGTCTTGTTACTTTTGAAATTGTTACAATTACCCAGTAGTTTATTATGATGATGGGATATTAATTTTTTCTATAATTTTTATGCGATTGTAGCTTAATTTTATGTTGTTGCTGTTAAATATCTTCCTTAGTTTTGTAGAAATTCCGAGATCTTAAATCTAGTCGATATTTCTCGACTAGTTTTAAGATCTTTCCAACATTTGTCTTTACGTTGCGGCTATAAATGGGTTTAAACTATAAAATATTTACATTATGCATACGTGTGTGTGTGTGTGTGTGCGTCAGTCAAAGAGGGAGAAGTGTAGTTTTTTAAGTTTTATCAATGTTTTCCCGTATTTTTATCTTTTTTATACAAAACCATAAAGTTTCACCTATTCTTTAGAGGTATGTTAAAAAAAGTTGTGACGAAAAGCTGTTGGGGAGAATATTTAAGCTACAGAAACATGTGCGTTGTGGCATAATGGATATCGGCTCTGACTGAGAATTTGGAGAGCCGAGTTCTAATGCCAGACAAGTTCGTTAGAGTTACTTACGCACAAATACACTTTAGAAAGGTATGAATTCATCTCTTCATCCCCCTCCTAGCTATGGGTTGAATAACAGGACAGACTGGGTTCTTTAGCTTTGGTTTGCAACCAGTCTATCGCAGGACGAAATTTCAGTCATGTAGATATGATCGCCTAGGCGTGTATCACGTATAGCACCTAACTGTCTGACAGAACAGAAATTTCGCCTAAAAATAATGTAGTCTCCATTAATAATAATTTTTTTTTGCGTATAGAGGGGTTAAACTTTTCATTACTGTATCTTAAAAGTTCTGTCCAACTGTTTTTGGCCACAGCTCTTTTGTCAATATACACTTAAAGACAAGAAGAAAGATTTTACATTATTTTTTATTTAAGCTCCGAGAAAGCGTTTTTTTTTTTTTTGGGGGGTTTTTTTTTGTTTTTGTTTTGTTTTTTTTTTACCTTTCTTTTTAAGGTCCATCTTCTCGGCTGTATTTTATTATAATTATCTTCTAGTTATATCGTTGCAACATCTACTTACTTCTTGTTATGTCTTTTAATTTTATGTGCCATGTCCCTTTAGAACGTGATCGATCATGGCTCTCCGCAACTTCTTGTAATCTGTCACTCTAAATAACGTTTTTTCTTCTTACTATCTTGTGCACTTCCTGTACTGCTGTGTATTTATATAAATTCGTTACTCAATGTTTTCCACTGTTCTTAATACCTTAAATAAATCCTGTGAGTGCCAATCCCCCTCTTTACAGAAATTCCAACTGTCTCTTTGTAAATATAAGATTAATTTTTGTTTCCTCTTTTCCTTAAAATTTATTCATTGTTCACATGGTATTCTAAGCATCCTTCTGTAAAACGACATGTTGCCTCAAGTCTCCTCTTTATTCGTGCGGAAATTAACTAACATTCACTATCGCTCTCTTTTCTCTGAGTATAACACTGTTTATATACCAATTATATTCCAATTTATAGTTTAATTAATAACAGCAAGAATTCCGATTTCATATCATATGTTCGATGACTTATAAGTCCCTTTTTCTTGTCAAAAATGACGAAATAAGAATATATAGAGAGAGAGATTCTTATATGCGAACTTGACTTAAATTTACTTATACTCCGTTGATTTCCTGTATTTGCACCTAGCCTTTCCCTGTGATATCGTGATTTTACATGCAAATGCGGTCTTAATCATTAAATACTGTAGTCACCTTTCTCAAAAACGTAGGCTGAATAGATTTTAGATTACAAAATATGATTTTTTTTTTTTTGGTTTGTCTTATTCTATGCCTGTACACTGAATAGAATGCACGGTCAAGACGCGGACAAAGCTATAGAATGATAAAGACTATCAATTGATCGAAAATTTATGCCCAAAACTTTTGAATTATATTGCGATTATCAACCGTCCAACCAACGTCCGCATAACATTTCTCTTAAAATTCCTAGCTTAATTGTAAAACAGCATTCAATTCACATGCAAGATTTTCAAGTCTCTGTGCAGGAACTCTTTTATTAATATTTCAAAGGCTTACGGCCACATTGCGTTAAAGTACCAGTTCCCGTACGATCACCGAAGTTAAGCAATGTCGAGTTCGAACATTAATTAGATCGGTGACCGCTTGGGAATACCAGGTGCTGTAAGTTTGGGTGTGCGGTTGGTGTAATGTAATGACTCGGAAATGTTAATCGAAGGGCTGAGTTTCAATTCCAGTAAGATCCGTTATATTCACCTTTGGGAAATGTATGAATCCAACTCTTCTTCCCCCTCAAGCTATGGGTTAATTAGTAGGATTTGTATCACTAAATAATTATTATCGCCAAAAATAATCTTGCCATCTAAAAATATTTTCTGGCTTTCAATAACCTACAAAGGGTTGATAAGCCGTAAAAATTTTAATGAATTTTCAACGGAGTGAAAAAATAAAATGCATTGTGCACATACAATTTTGAAAAAAAAGTAACTATTTTACTTAATAATTTTAGTTTAAATGTTTAACGCAGTCTTAAGATATTAAATGCTTTGTGGGTGACATTAGTTAACACTAACTAGATAAAAATGTTAAATGATATCTCAGTTGCAATGTGTGTAGCGGAGTGGAATGTATGTAAACAGGAACAGATGAATTTCAAAATCATTTTATTTACTTTGGACTTTAACCACTATATCACCTCACATTTCCACTAGGAAAGATATTGCTCAAATAGTTATATTTTATCTACTAATGTTTTAATTTAATTTAATCTCTTACTTTTTTAAAATAGGAGCAAATAGGCTCACCTATCGCCCTGTTCACACTTTTTCCACATCTTATGAACAGAAGTAAAGGCATATCCCTTTGTTTCCTGTTTAGGATTTACTTTCCGGTTCATTCTCTTAGTCTTCTTATTCTCTTTCACTTCCAGTAATCTCTTGCGTCTTAATAGTATTATCCTATTGCTTGGAGTGAAATAAAAAAAAAGGAACATGTCATTTGGATTTGGTTAAAACATTTGAAAATGATCAATGACTACAGTCAGAGATCGATTTAAGAACAGAACCTCCCTTCTAAAATTTTTTTTTTTTTAAATCAATACTTTTCGATTTTCACAATGTCTTGCCTTCAGGAATGTCTAATGTATCCTTCTTCATCTTCTATGTACCGCGACTCTTTAAGTGATCATGGCTCTCCACAACCTTCTTTTAGGTGTGGCTCTCAGCAGTTTTTCTCCTTTTGCTGAGGCTCCTGACACCATTCTTCTATCCATTCACATAAGCTTGATAGGTAAGTGGTTTACTGCCTTCCTCTATCTTTGGTGCCCTCACTATGCTCCATGAGAGTTAAGTTTTCCAAGTCCTTCTTTCTCGTTAAGTGTCTAAGGAATTTCAACTGCCTGTTCCTGATTTTGATTAGAAATGTTCTTTCTGTTGCCATTTTTTTTAAGACTACCTTGTTACTTACTCGCTCTATTCATATGTAAAAAAAATATTCCGAAAATATTTTCCCTATTTCTTACGACTGGAGCAATTTATTTAAACAATTCCCCTTACCCAAAGACTTCTTCTTTTCTTATTACTACCTACTGACATTACAACTACTCTTTCATTCGCCCGCTTCATTTTAACCACTTTTCGGTACTAACAAAGTGAAAACTTCAAATTAAAGGGAGACATTAAGCAGGATGCCACAAAATAAAAGGTTTGGCAGTGCTTAATCAGATGTCACCGTGAGGAATAAATCAGATATTAAATTTTAAAGATTGCTGATTCTTTTTTTTTTAATCTCATCCTCTTATAAAATAAACATTTTTATTCTATTATTCTACTGTAAATAAATCTTCTTCTTTTTTTAAATCCACAATTATTTTGGTTTTCGCTTGTACTTATTTTCTGGAATGAGACTTATAAGATATTTTCTGCGAGTAAGACTTATAAGTTTTAGAAATTTATGTTTCGAAAATAAAGGTTTTATTATTTATTTTAAAAATTAATGGGAGTAATAATTTTAGGCAAATGAAAAGAGTTCAGTTCAACAACATTTTCATAGATTGAAACTAAAACGTCAAATTAGTCTTGTGCTTTGTTCTCATTTTCAGTAAAAAGTGTTGGCCAATGTTTCAGATTCTATTATATTGTTGTAGACGGAATGTATTTTGCAATGTATTTTGCTGCTTACTAAATCGTTTTTATCTTGAGATATTGCGCAATTTACAATACTAGAAAGAACTATACCTACCAGAGAACGTAACTAATTCTCAAATAGTTAAATATTTTTCTATGACACTTAGGAAGCTATGTTCTTTGATTTTTTTTATATTGGTTTTTACTACACAATACAATGAGTTCCGAAACTTGCTAAACTAATTTTTTCCAGTGAAATTCGTTATATTCACCTTTGGGGAGTAATATCTTTCCTAGTGGAAGTGTGAGGTGGTATAGTTAGAATCGTCGATTTTTAAAATTCCTTTAATGAACTTATTCATTTGAAATAGGTTTAAATCGTGACCATTTCATATCACATGTGACAATGCCGGTAGAACAGCACAAAATAAATCAGATGTTAAGATTGGAAAACGGTAGCAGATACTAAGTTTAAATGATTGCTGATTCTTTACTTTTATTTGATCCTCCCAAAAATGAACTTTTTTTAAAATTTTATACTACTGTAAAAATGTTTCTTCTATTATTTTATTTTTTAAATCTATAGACTTTTCCGACTATAAGACATGCAATATATATATATATATATATATATATATTGTGATAATTAATACCATCATCTTTATGAAGGTCCTAGGGAGCAATGAATCACGAAACACTGAGTCAACCTCCGATTAGTATTTTCAACGTTTGATACAATAACTCAAAGACTTAAATAAAAGTTTCGAAGTTAATCTTTAGAAAAAAAAACAGAAAAAGAATTTTTCTAATTTATTTTGAAAATTAATGGCAGTTATGATTTTAGATAAATTATACAGATTATGCAGACCACTTCAACAGTATATTAATAAACTGTGGCAGTAATATTACATTTTGCTTTCTTCGTACCTTTCAGTTTTAACAAAAAAGGTTTGAACCTCTTCTTGGTCTCCCCTTTAGATCTACAGATGTAAGTTTACATTAATAATAATCGAATTTTCTTCATGTTTTAAAAATTTAGTTTAGCAAGTTTCGGAACTCATTGTATTGTGTAGTAAAAACCAATATAAAAAATAAAAGAACATGGCTTCCTAGGAGTCATAGAAAAAATATTTAACTATTTGAGAATTAGTGTTATAAATTTATTTTTAAATTTCGAAATGGTTTCTCTGTGCATAATATAACTTGTATTTTTGGTATGTAAATAGCATTGAACTGTTCTCTATCAGTTGTTAATAAATAAATAAATTAGATAGTGTAAAATAAAGCGGAAATAGAAGACAAAAAGAGAGAATATAGGTTTTAATTTAGTTTCGCAGAAGAAAAGGCCTTGTACGTGGTTGCCCACACACTTCAACATGTTATCTCAGTGAGACGAGAATAAATAACACAAACTCTGGCTGGCATCTGTCACAATAAAATGAAAATATACATTTTAATTGACATAAACACTCGGATGCAAACCAAGCATGGAGAAAACTCCCTCCTCGAATCACAAGGATTGGACGAGTGGCGACTTCTCTTTTTAAAAGGAAAACGCACCAGTCATAGACGGATGCGGAGTATTTCGGTGCATATAAAAAGAGACAAGGGAAAAAAGAGAAACGAAAGCTGCATTAATTTTTCCTTTCTTTCTTTACTTTTCATCCTCTATTTCCTTCTCTTTTTTTTCTTTTTTTTTTTTTACACTATTTCATCTCGTCTCGATTTTTCTTATCATTTTTCTTTCTTTTTCTTTTTCGTTCTTTTTCTTTTTCGTTCTTTATTAATGAGGATTTTTCTTGTTTCTTCTTATTTTCACACTTTTCTGTCTTAATTTTGATTTTATTTGTTTTTCTTTCCGTATTTGTTGTGTACATAAGGAAATTGTTTTTTGTTATTCTTCTTCGTTGTTTAACCTCTTATAATCACGATTTTTCTTTGTTTGAAAGTCTGTCTTTCATTATTCGTTCACTTACATCTTGTCTATCGCCTAATCCCTATATTTCATATTTTTGTTTCTCTTTTTAATACTTTTTATAATATTTTATAACATTTTCTCTTTATCATTCTTTTAAAACATTTTTCTTTTTCATAATTATTAATTTTTATAAAAAGCAAGTAGGTTCATAATTTCTTTTATTTTAATTATTTTCTTCTATTTGTCTCATAAAACATTTTTTCCTATGTCCTTAATTTTCTTCATTAATTTTCTTCACTTTTTATTCCTTGTTATATATATATATATATATATATATAATTTTCTTCACTTTTTATTCCTTGTTTTATATATATATATGTGTGTGTGTGTTTGTGTAAAATAAATAAATCCTAATGAGCCAGGTACTACCTTCCAAGGTTTCACCATATGTGATCCCATGCGACGAAACATAGGTAGATAGTGCCTAGGCTCATTGTACCAGAAATTTAAGGTACTGGACGATTTTTTCGCCCTGTTCGGAGGTTTTTGGTGGTTTCTTTCTTCTTTTTTTTTCCATTTTTACCTCGGATGCCAATTTATTTGAAAATTGTGCTATCCAGATTTTTTTTCTCGTCTACAGTCGCTCTCTCACAAACGCGCCGTCGCCTCTCTCTGTCTTTTTTACAAATACTTTCATGGTAATTGCTCCGAGGAGCTGCATTCGCTGGTTCCCAGACTTCATGAATTCAAGCGCCCTACGAGGCTGGCATCCCGCGCTCACCCTTTCACTGTTGAAACTATTAAATGTAGCCGTCTCTTCTACTCCAATAGCTTCATACCTCGCACCTCTCGCCTGTGGAACACCCTTCCCTATTACTGTTTCCCTGAGAGCTATAATCTCCAACTATTCAAATGTAATGTCAATCGACATCAATTGCTTTAATCTATCCACTATCCTTCTTCTCATCCTTTTCTCTATCACTCCTATCTGATCTTGCTCCAAATCTTCTGTAACCCCTTGCGTCCTTATGGCTTCCCGCCTTGCTTGAGGTGAAACGCTTAAAAAAAAAATACTCTCATGGTAATTGTTCGGATGAGATCTCCGATATGGTACCTAAACTTTAT